TGCAATTAAAAATTAAAATAATGTTCTTAATGAATAATTAAGAGTAGTATAGTTGAAAATTTGTATCTTTAACTGTTCATGGTGAAAGTAAGGGCTCACTTCTTCTTTCTAAAAGATTTAAGTGCTCCACACATTAAAACCAGAAAAAAGCAGGTAAAAAGAGTTAATAGAGAAGGTAGTATACTCTATCCTTTCAATCCCAGAAACAGCAGTGTTTACAAATAAGAAGCATTTTCCCAAATAATAAAAATTATTAGCATCTGTCTCATAAATCATAACCACACCTCAACCTGGCCGTTTGTAGCACATGTGTAGTGTTTTAATATTCCCTGCTATTACTCGATCGGAGTCGTAGTGCTTTTCTGGGTTGAACAATTAGAACTTGAAAGGCCAGAGAAGGCAGTTGCTTGACTGTTACCAGTATCTTTTTTAAAAGATACTTGGAATATTAAGTATGTTAGAGATCCACACGTACTCATGCAGGTGAGCAGGAGAGGAATCTCTTGTCTGTAGTTCTGGCCCAGATGGCACATCTTCTCTGGGTTTTTCTCACCATTGGAAGATAAAGTGTTTGTGTTTTAGAGCAAATGTGTTTTGCTCGTTTCCTCTGGAGTGATGAGTGGATGGTGAACACAATTAATTAAGACATTAGTGCTGAAGATCCAGCATGACCTTCTGGGTAATAAGAAGAAAAGCACAATTGAAAACAAGTGGAGCCTTTCAGTCCCTCTGGTCTGTTCGGCAGTTAAGTGTGAATTGATACCAGTATCTCATCCAGACATTTCTTTAAAGAAAACTGGGTTACAACTTCAGCAACATGGCTGGCTAGCTTGTTCCAGACTTCCACATGTGTTTCTTCCTGTTTGTACGTTTTCAGCCTCAGTACAACCTCAATATGAACAGTGAAACACTAACCAGAGGCCACAAGAGGACATTATGTAGAAATGCACTTGAGGAACACGAGAACAGGAGGCACTTCTTTACAAAAAGGGTTGTAGGAGTATAGAAGGTGTTCAATGAAGTCCAATAAAGATGTTTTTGAAGCCGATTTCCTGGCTTTTCTCTCGAAACAACAGGATAAGGTCCTGAAATCAATAAGGTATAAACTACCAAACAGGCTGGATGGGCCTCCTCATATCAGCAGTTTGCAATTGTTGAGCTGTTTTTCTGTTCTCCTCCTGTGATGTAAGCAGCTGGCACAGCCTGACAGCTTCCTGAGAGCAGTTTCTGAAGACTAGTGGGCCCAAGCTATGGCACAAGTAACATGGAAAGAGTAACGTGTTTCTGTGCCCTGAGTCGTGAGTATCCCATTACAGAGTACTAGTCTGTCCCCCAAGCCTCTGTAATCGCGAAGGTTAAGAGGGCCTTTTGTTTGCATTTCTCAGGTAAAGTACTGACATCAAAATCATTACATGTTTCCAGCATTTAGTGGGTAATACAGAAGTTGAATATGACAAATTAGTTTTAAACGACAGATACAAGCTAGCGCCACTTTCAGTCTGACCTGTTAGGACATGGTTCTGGGAAAAGGTGGATTTCACTCTCTTATTTAGGGCCTAAGTGCTCAATAACTGAAGAAATGTTTTTTTAAGATGTGCTAAGACCAGACTTCCTGTTTTTGATGTGCTCTGTGCAGTTTTATATCCAGTTGCTCCAGTCCAGCTGCTGAGCTGGAGACCAGTCAGGCTCAGCTTCCCTGTCTCAGCATATGACAGTGGCAGACGAGGAGCAAAGCCATTTTGTGTTTGCTTTTCAGCTCAGCAGACACCCACCTGGTCTGGGCTGCAGAGCTGCCTGCGTGCGACATACAGCACAGTCCGTCCCAATTAAAGACATGAATAAATGTGTTTTAAACTGCAGCCTGTGTTATTTAAGGTTGCTAGAGAAGGAAAATGAGAAAATAACCTACTTAAGAGTACTAGTAATTTCTGCTGAATCCGATTACCCATCTGCTAATACGGTGCAGGCTGCAAGCTGTGCCAGAGACAGATTAAGGTCAAACACAGGAGTACAGCTGGGATAGTCTCCCTGTGTATTTCAGTGGCAAAACTGGTTGCATGTGTGCTTACATGTATGTCTATGCCCCTGAACACGCATATTTGTTTGTGTTTTCATTTCCTTACCCTTTCAATTTAAACAAACTCCATCACACAGCCCTGTAAAGACTCTGAGACACTGCAAAGGCCCTTTTGTGGAGTGTGTCCAGGAAGTGTTTCTACTCTGTTTTTCCAGACTGTTGCACAACCCTTTCAGGGAACTGGAGAATTTTTTGGAGGAAGTCTGCATGGACAAAAATATGTCTTGCTGCCACAGAGAATGTGAAATAAATCACACGATTTACAGGAGGGTATCTTGTAAGTGAAAATGTGCCTGAGTCAGTAGCAAAAGAGCTATACATTTTGTGCTGTCAACAGACAGGAAATTGGTACTTCAAAACAGTGGTGAATTTTCTGCTCAAATTGTTTATCAATTTGAATGATTTATCAATGAAGATGAGGCACCTCCATATTGTGTAGTATTTCAAATGAGCTGTTCATGGAAGTACAGTACCTCTCCAGCTTCAGAACGAGCAGAGCTCTTTTTGCCCTGATCCTGCTAGAATTACAAGTCCACCTGACTGTCACGCTACACACACTGTTGAGGGAAAGTATAGGGTGGTGAATTTCACTACAACACTCCATGGAGGAACGATACATAGTACTTCACCTGCAACAACAGGTGAAACTGTGGTAGTGTGTGGTGGCAGTAGTATTACAGGTAGGTTGTTGTTCTGCTTGTCAGCAGGAGGGACTGGAAATCTTGCCAAGACCGATGGGAACATCGGTGGAGCGACGAACTGGCCGATCTTAGAGGGAGACCTGCTGCAGACCTGAAACTGGGAGAAAAATCCACCTTTCAGCAGGACCATGATCTGAAGCACAAGGCCAGTGTGATACCAGAGCGGTAACAATACAAGTAACAAGACTAACGAGAGTAATAAGAATTTACTTGTGTGGCTACGTCAGTCATGAATTGAATCCTATGGAAATCTCTGACACAGACTTGTTCTCGATAAGCAATCGCCTAACAGCTTGAGAGAGCTTGAGCTTGAATGGGCACATGTTGCACCAGGCCTGCGTGTGAAGGCAGTAGAGGTCTGCCCCAAAACACTAGCAGCTATAATTGCTGTCAAAGGTGCTTCAACCAAATATTCCAAATACCAAAAAATGACCAAATATCAAATAGTTTGAACACTTACTCTATCTATATATTTATATTTTTCTTTTCGCTAACATTTACTGTCATTTATCTTGCCTTTAGAAGTCTTCAGTTTGAGCATTCATGTTCGGAAGAAAATATTACATTTAAAAATGTGTTTGCATCATTAAGAAATTTCACCGGATGAGACACTATTTTTCTTATATTGTAATCTTGCAAGGCGCTGTACAGAATATCAAAGCCCTGCTATAACTGCTAGCCATGAGTATTATTTTAAGAAGAACATAAAATCATGATGTTTGTTTTGCGTTTTAAGATAGTGAGACACTACACAGGAGACTTATGGAAATTCCGTTTTTAATTTTGTTTCATCCTTCACAGAATTAGTTTGTTTTCATCTGTGTCATTTGTTTATTTTAGGTAAGTATAAATGTGCCACACACAGAAAGAAATTAAAAGATTATTTTTGATGCTTCACAAAACTGCTGCCAGTTTGCAATAAACACTGCATAGTTTGGCAATAATTATTGTATGATGCCTCAGTAATAAGAGGATGACTTTACTATGAGGTAATGTTATATCAATTCTCAGCCAGAAGGACGTGATTTAAACATCTGTTTTATATTCACATTTTGTGCTTGTCAGAGATGCCACCCCCTCACACTATACTCCTTGGCACCTTGTTAAAGAAGAGCACTCTCCACCCTGGATGACACCTCTGTCTTTCACTCTACCAGCCAGCAGCCATATCACCCTGCAGTTCACAACTGGCAACCCACTGAAGCTCAGCAGGTGTGAGCCTGGTCAGTACCTGGGTGGGAGAAACTAAGGTTGCTGCTGGAAGGGGTGTTAGTGGGGCCAGCAGTCTATGTGGGTCCTAATGCCCCAATATAGTGATGGGGACACTATACTGTAAACAAGCACCGTCCTTTGGATGAGACGTGAAACCGAGGTCCTGACTCTCTGTGGTCATTAAAAATCCCAGGGTGTTTCTCAAAAGGAGTAGGAGTGTTACCCCAGCGTCCTGGCCAAATTTCCCATTGGCCCTTACCAATCTTGGCCTCTTAATAATCCCCATCTGTGAATTGGCTTCATTGCTCTCCTCCCCACTGATAGCTGGTGTGTGGTGAGTGTTCTGGCGGACTGTGGCTGCCATCACATCATCCAGGTGGGGCTGCACACTGGTGGTGGTGGAGGGGATCCCCATTACCTGTAAAGCGCTTTGAGTGGAGTGTCCATCTACAGGATAAGCTAAGAGTGCTTAACTAGTATCTATTGGTAACAATGCGGAAATGCTCTGCACAAATACCAGCAAAACCTGCAGTTTCTTATCTGATGTTATCTTATAGTTATTCAAAATGCTGGGCAGTTTTTGAAGAATGAAACCTGTCGACTCTATTAAACTGTACCTTATGGTATAAAACTAATCTCTAATTAAAACGTGTCATACTGACCGGCCTAATGTTTTGTCAGAAGAGCTTACAGAATAGTGTATTTCCTTCACAAAGACGATATTCGGTTGATGATCCACACAATGTATGTACTTCACGATTTGCACAGTTTATCTGCCGCGGTTCCTCTACGGGCAGGTCTCAGGTAACGACACACAGTTCATATGTTATAAAGCGTCACCATCTTTGTCTTTCGTTTTACAAGCATTAATAATGCAAAAGTATCCAAGTAGCCCTGTATTTTACGGTAACACGTTTGCTATTGTTGCGGACTAAGGCAAGAGATTTGTTTTCGTGGAAAGAGCTTGGTGGTTTGCTTCGATTCGCCTGCAGAAGCACCGGAGTTCCCCAACAGGCGTGTCTTCTTGTAAACCCCAAGAGGGGGTCTTAGGGAGCTCACAGCTCCGTGCTTCCACCTGCTCCTCTTGAACCTGTGCTTCTGTCCCGCCACCCTCAATCATTAAGACTCAAGACGCCGGTCCGCAGCCTTTCAAAGCGGCACAAGTTATAGTCAGCATGGGTTCCCGGCTCCGAGTTCAAGTCTCTAGTTAAATCTGGCTATTATAAAATTATGCCTGATGTCAACATTTTAAACTGGAGATTCAATCTTCTCAGAGAGGGAGAGAGGGAGGATAATCGGATTACCGGGCTGCAGTTTTGCAAATGTCTCTTTCACGGTTAGCGTTTGTGAGGATGAGGTCGTTTTACTTTCTCTTTGTCCGTTAGCGACTCACCAAACTATTTTAGGCAGCGCCTAAAGTTTTCAGGGAATTTTTTTTAATGAAATCACCATATGGTAACACGCACTCAGTTTACTGTGGGAATGTCAGGGGAAGTTCGAAAACGGGATTTTTTTATATAATCATGCCATGGTTATATGTTTGCAGATCCTTTTTTCTATTTCAAATGAAGACAGTGACACGAATCTTCACAAACTGAAGAAAATGTGTGAATACAAAAACGGATTCTTAACGACTTTTGAATGTTCGCTTTAAAACTTCACGAATATTTCTGGTAAAAAAAGTCAACAGGATTTTTGTCACTGCGTAATCCAGTCTCTGAATAATGGAAGAGAATAGTTTGAAAGCATCAGTTTTTGTGTCTACAAATCAAAGTATATATTTATCAGCTACGCACTATGTGTTACTAGTAAGAAAGTTATAGCCTTTCTGTTCAGGACATGTACGACAAGGTCAAGAAAAACTGATTTATGTAGCAAGTGCGTCAATTTTTCGCCCTGAGGACATTTATTGGGGGTTAAATGGTGCTGATAGCGGACGACAGGGACGGAGGAGGACACTCTCCTGTCAAGATCAAGCCTGTTCAGCATTGTAAAAGTGGAGGCGGGGTGGAAGAGAAACCCACAAATACAGCGGACCCGTCTGCAAGCCTAAATTCAGAAAACGACGAATTTCTCGGTTCCGTCGGCTCGGAGCAAGAGGAGGATGATTACGAAGAGTACGACGATTTCTCCGAGTTACCGGATACCCGGAGCATCGCCTCGGACGACTCTTTCTACCCTCCTGACGACCTCTCCCTCTCGGACGAAGAGAGGGGTCAGACTCCGGAGAGCCCGGCTCCTCTCTCCTTCTTCCAGGCGTGCTGTACCAACAACCCCATCATCGTCAAAGTCATGATCAGACAGGGGGTGACGGAGGCAGAAGTGAAAGAAACGGACAAGAACAACAGGGTAAGTGTTTGTGTTCACAGGACTTTTAAAACATTTACATTTTTGGGGGGAGGTGTGTGAATGGGGGTCTATTTTGTCCCTTCCCCTTCCTAAGTTTTTAAACGGATGAAAACTTGGATCAGCTTTACCACAGCAAGTTGAACGATACTTGAAAGTAGTTTGGAAAACCACAGCACAGTTCCCGCGGAACTGAAGAAACAAAGCTGTGATTTCAGGTGAATACGTCATGCCCTGTCCAGGACTGGTTTCTGTTTTTGTTCCCGGAAAATATTTTTAGTATTTTCTGTTAAACTGTATTTTATCCTGGAAACTCCATGGCACTGTTCCACGAGTTTTAAACTAAGCAGCGTTTTCAAGCGTGGCGTTTGCGTTTGTAAAATGATACATAAAGCTACTGATGAATCAATTATTAATCAAGGCCGTTGCAAAAACATGTTTTTACTAGTGTCCTCTATGCATTTAATCGTTAACCTATCGGACCACACTGTGCTATTGACTGCATGCTTTGAGCTAACTGAATAGTAATGAGGAAATGTTATCATGAAGCAAACTTTATACAGAAAGAAAACACTTGTTGCACCACTTCGATCTTTGAGGAGGCACAACAACACGATATGAACCATGCAGCATTAGAAAGAGTAACAAACGATCGTGACTGGACAAACGAAGTGCGCCCCTTCCCACGGACAGATACGCATGGGATACTTTTTAAAAACAACAACAACATCCCCATTTTCAGTTATTGAACTTAATGAAAACAGTAACCGGTTTTAAATATTTGAGTTTTCATTTAGAGCAGTGCCATTTTTGACATCATAGTTAAATTCAAATAGCTTCATTGGCTTTTAAAATAAAGCAAACAGATATTTTTGAAAATAATTTCTCTCTCACTTATTGTCATTACTTAGATAAGTCATTTTCTAAGTACTCACGGTGTTTTATGAAGTCTGCCAGTTGCCCTTGAGCTTCATAACTATTTAAACTTTTGTGCCATCTAGCCCTGAAGATAAACCTCTCATGCTTTAAACAAAAGTTACTCAATAAGCCTATGAAATTTAAAAAAAAAACCTATCCCTGAGACAGTTGCATTGTTAGGTTGAAGTTAATCCAATGCATTTCTCTTAGTTTTTGTGATATTTACATACATTGTCAATAAGATAAAAACTTGGCTTGAATTCCTCAAACATAAATCAGAGAAAAAAAGTAATAATTTTACTGTGACGGCTGCTACTCGCCGCAAGCATCTAATCACTCCTAAGCGCCGCCGCACGAGGTAACTAATTATCTCCAGCTTTCTACCATTAACTTCTCCCGTTTAAACCCTCACTTCACATCACTGTGTCTGGTATTGGTCTCTCGCTCCGGAGTTCATTACTTGCAGTCGCTAAAAAGTTCCTAAATGGAAACCGTGGCTTTGAATCTGACCTTGCCCTTAGACCACGACTTCAGGCTCACGGATCGATTTGTTATCGCCTGAGGAAATCTCTCATCTCTCATCTTTCTAGTTCTCCCTCTGCTCCGTAGGGCCCACTTTAGGCCGGCCAGGCTTAACATCTACAGCTGCAAAAGCTAACTAGAATAAAACATCACACAAATTATGAGACGCTTTGAAAAAGCAATAGTTTATTCCTTTTTGTATGCAGAAAGTAAAACATTTAATAAAATGTGTTTGTGCATGTGTTGAGAAAATGCTATTTTCCATAAAGCCACCTAGTCCATAGAATACTACAGCAAGTTGTTAATGTATATGCACATTCTGCAGTTCTTACTTCAGAAATTGCTGTACTACCTTGCCTGATCTCAGAAGCTAAGCAGGGCTGGGTTGGGTGAGTACTGGGATGAGGACCTTCCAGGAAACCAGGTGGCTCCCGTTGGTAATGCTGATTGACCAGTAGGTGGTGCTCTTTCCTCTAGACGTGATGTCTAAACTAGAGCTCCAGCAGGGTGACAAGAGCACAGTGCTTTCGGAGGTCCCAAGTACTTGGTTATTAAATATATCGGGGTGTTGTGTACAGGAGTAGGGATGTGAACTTCAGGTATGATCAAATTTCACTCTGGCCTACCTAAAAGCTCCCCCTTTATTTAGAAGCTTAAGTCTTTTTCTCCCCTTTCCCTCAGTGGGGCTGCTGCGTGTCACCCAGCTGGGGCTGGTGGGTGGGTCTCCTCCTATATGTAAAGCACTAGATAAATACATGCAATAAATAATTATCATAACAGGAATTTATATGTGTTTGAGTCTCCACACTTAGAAATGTAGTTCCCGAAGACATGAAACATTTTAAATCCTTTTTTAATGCTCCCCACACGGATGTAGAAGACTGCTCCCTTTGAACTGAAGTGCATTTATTAATTAATCGACTAATTGTGGAATAGACACGCAACACAGGTAGTCTTTGAAATCCAAGGCAGACTTATGCAGTTATAAAATAATGTAATAATAATAATGCACACAACTTGCTGACTTGTGAGAAGCTGCTGGGTGCTGTCGAGGTGAAGTGACAGAAAGCTGGGTGGCAACCTTGTCAGTTTCCATTTTGGGGGGAATAAACAACAACAGCATCCAACTCTATTTTGGGGGCTGAGAAGTCTGGGATAACTGAGCATGCTCCTCTTGTGTGACAGTGAATGAGCACTGTGGAAGTTCAATTTGTGTTCATCTGGTAGACGCACACAAAAGTTGAATCTTTTCAGCTTGAGGCAGGACATCTGCAGGACCTCGTGTGTCTGCTTCAAGACATTGGCGTACTCCAGCACGGGCTTATGACGTTACCCTTGAGACGTCAGGCCGGTGCTGGGGCTTGGCATGGGCTGCAGGTGTGAACATCCTGCCTTAAACATTCTCAGCTCCTTCTCCTCAGATGCCCTACCTCTTGCACTGCTGCTTGGCCACAGAGATGCCAGGACTGTGCTTTCCTGAATGTACCAAGCGTGAGCTGAGGCCATTGACTTATTACACTTCAGATCTACAGCTCTTGATTCCACAATTAATTAAGGAGGCAGAAGCCATGACATTGTTTCAGTGAAGATGTGGTATATAAGTGCAAGACTGAATCTTAATTATTAACAAACTGTTAAAGATATAGTATTATTCACCTTTGGGATGATGTATTCATTTATGAATTGGACACTGTTAATTTCAGTACTATTCCATCAGTATAAGTGCTGTGATTTTCAGTAGTGCAGTAGAGGTCCCAGATCTAGTCTGTAGTCTTCACAGTATTATGAAACATTACATAAAACAGAACATTGTGGTCACAATTATTTAGGGAGGCTTTCAGCTGGGACACAAGATCTTTGAGGCCTCTTTCACTCATTTTCTGGGAAGATAAAGTCTTCATTACTGGAATGTTACTGGAATGTTGATAAAGGGTACTTGAGTCACAAACTGTGAGTGAAGTTATTGGTGGTAACTGTAACAATTTCACCTCTGTGTTTACATGGCAGTTGATCTAGGAGGAGACATTTGGAGTCAAGTTGTTTATCATTAGACATGAAGAAGCATCAGCTGTCATGTCTTTGGGGGGGGGGGGTGAAAATTCTTACAAATTTGGAGATGCAGTGAAGAAGGGACAGTGCCCTCAGCGGGAGGAGCTGGTGATATTTGGCCATTGTGTCCTGCTTTTAGTGGTGTCTTGTTCTGCCAGAAGTAGTGCTGTAAGGTGCTGTCATCACCCTTGGGGGGACATCAGGCTTGGGGCCTGGCCGTATCCCCAGGAGGTCCCACCCGACACACAGGTGTGTCTGGCGCTATAGGAGGCAGCATGAGGTGACTGCTGCAGTGGGACATGGTGGGCAGAGAAGAGGTCCTTCAGTGAGTGGGGCTGGGGCTTACAGCCAAGCGGACTGAGTGGTAGGGCAGCCAGACCCTATCCCAGCAAGCAACAGGCGCAAAGCAGGGACCCTGGACGGGACGCCAGTCCATCGCAGGGCACACACAGGCACACTCACACTAGGGGCAGTTTTCCCAGAGGCCAGTTAACCTACTGTATGTTTTTGGACTGTGGGAGGAAGTCCAGTCAGACTTGGGGAGGACATACAAACTCCACACAACATCCCAGGAATTGAAGGCAACATCGTAAACCACAACACCACTGTGCTGCCCTTGAAGATTCATCTCTAGATACATTCATCTGGCACCTAGTCTGCAATGAGCTTGACTGCCAGAACAACGAATTCCTGATTGGCTGTAGTGTGCAAATGCCTTGATTTGTTACAATCCTTTCAGAGATTTATGTTTCTGCCTCTTATGTCTTTTTCCTTGAAAAACCCAGGAACACAGGTCAATCTAGTTCCCCTGTGACTGTGATGCCAGGAATTAGGTCGTACAGCAGAGAACTTGGATACAGAAATCTGTAAGCTTTGTGCAGAACAGAATCAATCTAGAGAATGAAACAAGCCATGCGGCCGTCCTTACTGTGAGCTCCGAGGAACGTGATGAATTACACCCACCTGTCAGTTGCATTGTCATGGTCAACAAATCGATTGTAACCAACTTGCTTCGTTTCTGAAGACCTGTTTCCTTGACCATGTCAAAGTAACTGAAATAGGTTTAGAAACTGGGACAGAAAATCACAGCACACAGAGAGTACAGTAAGAGAGTGGCAACTGTTTTATAGTAGTAGTTCTCTTGTGTCTTAATTTTTCTTTTCCTGCTAAAGCTACTTTAACCTGTGTCTGTCTTGGTACATAGCTGCAAGTTCACGTTTCTGTGTGTGATTTGAAATTGTTGCTCATATCACCATGAATTTCCTTTGAATGCAGGTAATTGTGGTTCAGCCCAGCAGTACTGACTGTCTTCCCCTCCAGTATTACAATACTGCTGTAGACAAGCAATTTAATAGAAACGAACCCCCTTTTCCATAATCACAGTACACAACAGTACCTGGCAGTCAACCAAGAATACTGCTCTTGCACTTCAAGTGTGGTGCAGCAGGACTCGAATCAGCTGAAATGAAAGCTGACTTCAGCCTTAGCTGAGGAGTCCATCCAACAGACCTGAG